GGCCTCAGAGAGATAGGAAAGAGATCCCATCCTCATGTCCAAGGAAACTGAGGCAGCCAGTCCACACCTGGCCTGGGCACAGCAAGGGAGCAGGGGGAGGACGCACGTCACAGAAGGTGAGTCTCTGGGGCTGCTCAGGCACACTGAGCCCACTGCTGCGGGCAGGGACTGCCAACTCCCAGCCATGCGGGCACACCTGGGCCCCGCCCTGCAGAAGGCAGTCCTCAGGACCTCGCCTGTGCTGGGAGAGACGGTGCCTGGCAGAATTGTGTCACAGAGGGTGTACCCAGTGCAGGCGACGCATCCAGGCCCACTCAGATCCCCTGACAGTATTTTACAACGATCAATACGAACTCTGCATCAGACCAGGGCTTTCTTGTCATCAACAGACATTTTGTTGGGACTTGGCAGCTACGCAGAGCAGTTCAGGACGCCAACATGCCACGGCAGAGGTCAGTCTGCCAGACGGTGCCACTCCTCCCATCCCAGACCCCTGGGCAGAAGCGGGGTGCTGCAAACCTGGGGCGGCTGTGTGTCCGCACTTGTGCCCTCTCTGGTCAGGGTCAGTCGGAAGATGGGCTGAATCACAGGCACCTGCTGTCACCTCATCTCCAACACCAGAGGTAGCCTGGTGTGCACGCCCTCTCGGTGCAGGTGTGCACACGTGTGTACATGTGGAGGTAACGTGTGTGGACTCACACATAGATGGACATGCGTGTATGCGTACAAACAGGTCTGAAAATGAGGCTAGAACCCGTGTGTGTGTCTGTGGGTGGCTGTGCGGATGTGTCTGTGCACACGGGCGAGGGACTGTGGTTTAGTTCCCTCGGGCACCAGAGAAAGGCAAAGGTGTGGGTGTGCTGGCGGACTGAGCTAGAGCACACACGCATGCCCAGGCCGGCAGCCGAGAACTCAGATCCTCACTTACCCGTAGCTGGATCAGCGGCCATAAATCCGCCAGAGGAAGAGCTGTCAGAGCCTGACCTGAAGACGACCTGATTTACTTCTGCACCATAGGCGCCATGGCGGGGAGGCCAGGAGAGGGAGCTCGTCCCGCTGCAGGGGTCGTGGGCACGTGGAGGACAGGGTGATGGGTGTGCCCCAGGCTGCCCGGGGTCTGTGGGTGACAGCCAAGCCCTATGTCTCATGGCAGGTGAGCCCTTCCCGGCTACAACAAACCAAGCCCCCCAGGTGGCTTTCAGACCCTCACACGGCAAGGTCAAGATCAGGGCTTATGGTGAGAGTCACCCTGAAGAGCTGCTGCTTTCCAAGGTTCTCAGGTGCTTTGAAGACAGGGCCATAACTAGGGTGACCCTATCCCAGGTTAGCCTGCACTTTTCTGATTTTAGCTTTGAAAGTCCTACATCCCTGGAAACCCCTCAGTCCCAGGAAAACTGGGACAGCTGGTCACTCTAACAGATCTGAACCCGGTACAACTGAAGGGGGAGAAGTCTTTTTAAGAAAAAAAATATATAAGCCAAGTGTGGTGGTGCCTACCTATAGTCCCAGCTACTCAGGAGGCTGAGACAGGAGCATTGCTTGAGCCCAGGAGTTCAAGTGCAGCCTGGGCAACTTAGTGACATCCCATCCCTTTTGTAAAAAAATATAAGCATCAAATACAAATATGAAATTAGGGCCACGGAAAGGATGTGTGTTAAGGGGCCTGGAGCCTAAAACTTCAGCAGCTTCACAGTCACCTACCTTTGCCAGGGAAAGAGTTCCAACTTTGTTTGGAGCCAGCCCAATCTGGACGTGAATCCAGGCTCTGCCCCTTACTGGCTGTGCGAGCCTGGGCAAGTGACTTACCCTCTCTGAGCTTTAACTCCTTCCTCTGTAAAGCAGGGACGATCACACAGGGAGGGATGTGCAGGTTAAATGAGATAGCATGGGTGAGAATACAAGCGCACACAGCTGGCACATGGCCTGCTCCTTCCCTGTCCCTCTGCAGTGCAAGTCTGTTGACCGAGTGAACCGAGGAGAGAGAAGTCACTCTTTGGTGAGGAGGACAGCAGACAGGGCCCAGGGAGAGCCGCCCCTAACTCAGCACACTGACGAGACATCTGCTCCAGGAAACCCTGCTCTGCCTGCACCCCCCTGGGTGCTCCACAGCAAGCCTCAGCCTCCTGGTCTCTATACAGGACTTGTAGAATGCTGGCCTTGGCTTTGTCCCCCTATTTTGTGAAGCAAAGATGCAGAAACATCTGTGCAATTTAAAGTGCATCTTTTCGGCCTAAGGGCCAGGCCGGAGGGGATTCAGCAAGAAGAGCTTTGGCTTGGGAAGTGCTGAACATCCTGGGACCACTGAGTCACCTTCGCCCTCCTTCACTCGGAATCCCTGACTGTTGCTAACAGTTGGTCAAGTCCTGGCCAGGGTGGGGTGGAGGAGGCTGGGGAATTCTCTGCCCCCTTGAAGGCCCCTGGGGACGAACGCTGAGGAGGCCAGCTGTGGAGGCCTCTCCAGGGAGCACACAAAGGTGTCTCCTCTGTGTGGGGACACACCCTCCCAAGGGCATCCTGGGACGTGACCTGACTTGGGCTTGAAGTAACCACCCTGTGTCCCCCATAAATGGCCCAACCAGGAGAAGGACAGACAGCATCTCCAAGCACACTCCAGTGTCAGAGCAGAACAAGGGTTAACCCCGGGGAACTTTAGCAGCGACCACAGGGAGGGCTCCTGGGCCGACTGCCTCTCCCGGTCAGCAGCCGCCTGGGACCCCACAGCAGAGCCTGGCTTTGCCTAATTGTCCTCCAGGGCTGGGGAGCTCACCCCTCCTGTGCTGGCCAGCTCTGTGCAAGTCTGTCCCAAGATGGGGTTAAATCTGCCTTGAAACCCTTCACCCTTCCTTGGAAATCTCGAAGAGTGGGTCAGCCACCCCTCCGTGGTCACCAGACCGGGCACTGACTGGGGATGGGGAGGGGAAGCCCGCCCCCCGCCCGGGAACCTCCCCCCCAACCTTGGGGAACCCCAAAGCCCCCCCCGCCGCCCAACCCCCCCCCAAAACCCCCGGGAAAACCCGCCGGGCCTGGGGGCAGCGCGGGCATGGGCCGAGACAGACAGGGGGTCCTCAGAACCCCTGGCCATCTGCTGCCCTCGCCACCCCCCTCCTCTTTGTCTTTGGGTCTCACACATTCCCGGGACCTACTACTCCCTTTTCTCCCGCCTCTCATTTCTCCTTTAGGGATCCCTCTTCTAGTCCAGGCTCTTCTGTTTTCCTGCTGTTTTACCTTCAGGATTGCCCGGCTCAGAGAGCGGGGTGAACCCCCTGAAAGTCACACAGAAAGATCATGAAAAAGGAAGTCTAGACGAGCCCGAGCTTCACCAGGACTTAGGGACACCGGGAAGCCCCAATTTTCCAGCGCCCTGCTCAGGACAACCTGCGGGAAAGACATTCCACCCCGTCCCCGGTGCTGCCATCCCGGGACCTGGGGCCCCCAGGGCAGAGGGGGCGCGGCAGGAGGAAGGAGTGGTCTCGCCACGCCCTCCCGCCCCGGCCGGCGGGGGCTGGGAACGGGTCCCCCAGCTCTGTGCCCACTAATTGGTCTCATCAGGCGCCGGCAGAAGCCTCCAGCTGCGCAGCTCCCAGCCGAGTCATCCGCTTAGCGCCCTCGCACCAGCCCGCGCTCGCGCCCCGCGCCCCCCCGCCGCCGCCGCCCTCATTGTCGTCTCTGCCCTCCTCGCGGGGCCAGGGCATGCTCCGCGCTCCCGCGGCCGGGCCGGGCGGCGGCAAGCGACACGACCCGCCGGCGGCGACATGAGGCGTGGCCGGTGGGCCGCCCTGGTCCTGGGGCTGCTACGCCTCTGCCTGGGTGAGCGGTCGCCGGGCGAGGGCGGGGGCGTCAGCGCTTCCCCGGGTGGCCACAGGAACGTGGTCCTGGGCCGTCCGCTTCCAAAGTGGGACTCGGGCTGGGGGACTGAGCCGGGGAATCCTTCCAGCTGCCCGACCCCTGGTACCGGGAGCTCCCGGGGCGCTTGTCCCGGCGCCGGCGTCCCAGAGCCCTGGGGCTTGCGCCCCGACCCCCGCTGCTCTCCGCCTGCAGAGAAGCTGGGCTGCTCGCATGGCTGTGTGGGGCGGGGGAGGCTGCGCCGGCTCACCGGGTGACCTTGGCGGGGGCACTGCCGCTCTCCGAGCACGGGTACCCGGTCTGTCCATTGATGGGGGTGGCTTGGGCGCTACCTGGGTTATAAGCTTCCTGCCAAGCCCGAGCCCAGCCTGAGCCCACCACGGTGGGAGGGTCGGGGGGACTTTCTGGTTGGCCCCCAGCGGGGTCCCTCGGTGCGCCCGGGTCGAGGAGGTGGAGCACCCCGCCCACTAGTGGGACCTGACGCGTGACCGCGCTGGTGCTCAACGCCTCTGGTGCCGGTCTGTTCTGTCTCTGTCCTCTTCCCAGCCCAGGCCAACTTTGCCCCCTACTTCTTCGACAACGGGGTCGGCAGCACCAACGGAAACATGGCCCTGTTCAGCCTCCCAGAGGACACCCCCGTGGGTGAGTAGTCCTGGCACCCGCCCCCATAGGTCTCCCTGAGGGCTAGGTTGCTTTCTCCTGGACCTAGGAACCAAACTGTGATTTCTTGGAGCCTAAGAGGTTTAATGCACTCCCCAGGGCGTCCTGTTTGCTCTCTGAATTCCCCAGGGCAGTATCGGGAAAGGAGGTCACCGCTGCCATGGCGACCTAAGCCTGGCCAGTCCTGGAGACCAGGGTGTGAACCCTGAGACAGGGTCAGCCCTAAGCGGCAGGCAGTGGCTCACAGCATGGCAGTAACCCTGCCCCTTACCTGCTGTGTGACCTTGAGCAAACATATTTACCTCCCTGAGCCTCAGGTCTCTAGGCTTTAAAATGGCCCAGGAGTATCCAGCTTGCTGAGATTTGCAGAGAACAGGGAGAAGGAGAGAGAGGAGAGATTTCACACTCCCTCTTGCTCTCCCTGTGGGACGGGGAACCCTGAGGAAAAGGAGGGGCTAGGAGAGCAAAGCAGGCACCTGCCTTCAGAAATCCCTGCAGAGCCAGTCCGGGCGTTGGGGCACCCTGCTGCACCGCTGGGCACCCCTCCTGCCTTAGTGGCTGCTCCCTTTTCCCCTGGCCCCCCAAACCCAGGGAGCCCCCAGTCTTGGCTCCTGAGAGAGCCAGGCAGAGGGAAACAGGCTCTACAGTTGGACACAGCAGACCTGCGCCTCCTCTGTGATGTGCGCTGTGGGGTGCAATCTGGCAAGTAGCTGGAACAGCTGCGAAGAACAAAGATAAAAAGTGAGAAGCAGCCAGCAGGGCTGAGGCCAGCAGTGAGCGCCCAGGTCAGGGCGGTGTCTTTGGCACTGAACTGAATAGTCACTTTATTAATATAAACAGCTGAATCCTTGGTCCTGAGCAGCTGCCAGCTTTAGGAAGTTGGGTCGCAGGTTCTGCGTCTGCCCCCTGTGTCTCCTTCCAGGCTCTCATGTCTACACCCTGAACGGAACAGACCCGGAGGGAGACCCTGTCTCCTACCACATCAGCTTTGACCCCAGCGCTAGAAGCGTCTTTTCCATTGACCCCAATTTTGGAAACATCACTCTGGTCGAAGAGCTGGACAGAGAGGTACGGGGAGATACAGGGAGCGCTGCGGGACTGCCGCGGCAGACAGACCTCTGCCGGCTGGAAGGTCCCGGAGACACAGTGGTTAGAACCTCTCTGCAGGTCAGGGGGTGAGGGGCTGCCGTGGCACACTCTCTCTGTGGGAGCTCTAGGTTGCTCCCCAGAGGCAGAGGAAGCTTTACTCTCACAGAGCAAACAGTGGGGTTCCTCTAGTGAGCACCCGCCAGCCCTGCTAATCTTTTAAGCATGTTCAATTAAATCTGTTTCCACTTCGAAGTTTCTGAAAGAAAGCTCATAAAGTGATTTTTCAAGCCTGTCCTTGGAGAGGTCCTGTACACGCCAGGAAACTCCAAGCAGACCAGGGCTGGAAAGAGTGGCTGAGAGAGTCTGAGCTTGGCAGACGCCCGCATTCCCCTCTGCACCCTCTGAACCTGCCGGTGACAGGGGATGGGCTTTGTCTCCTTGGAGACCCAACACCAGGCCAGTCAGCTGAGGTAGCCTCTTAACTGGGCCTCAGCCATGGGGCTGCTGCCAGCTCTGGTTCGATGGCAGCATCCACTCGCCGCAGGCCAGGTGGAGAAAGGAAAGGGAGGTCCCAGAGACTGCCGTGGGGACACGAGGATGGTGGCTGTGTCTGTGCTGCCAGCACCCCCTCCCAGTACCTGTGGGATCGGGCGACCTCCAATGCCCCTGCTCATCGACACCCCTCCACACCCCTGTCCCACCATGTCCTAAGAGCGCTGAGACACCACGGATGTGGACCTCTGCAGAACCTGGAATATGGAGAGATGAGGAGAGATAAGGGGGAGGAAAAGGAAATGAGAAGAAAGGGAAAAAGTCTCCCTCGTGGGACCTTGAGCATGCCAGGGTGACTTCTCTCCTCACTTGAACTGGAGAGCGTTTTCTGTTGGAGCTTCACAGGCTCTCGGGGTTTATGAGAGCCCCTGACACAAAAAGCCCTGAAATAAGGTCTCAAGATGGCAGGAGGCAACTTTCGGCCATGCCAGGCAGGTGATCACCACCACCCCTCCCTGCTCCAGGGCTTCATGCACGTGCCCAGGCCTCATGCTGGTGTGTGGAGCAGAGAGAGGTCCAGAGAGCTCGGGGGTCCCATGGCACGTCAGACTCCCAGACGCTCAGCCCCTGTGCTCTCTTACAGAGGGAGGATGAGATTGAAGCCATCATCAGCATTTCCGACGGCCTGAATCTGGTGAGTGCACCCCCAGGCCAGCCCCTGGCAGCACGCAGCATTCGGGCCTGAGAAGGCTGAGGCTGGGGGCCCCCAGGAAATTTAAGCCAGGGCCCAGCAAGACCCGCCCAGAGCGCCCACAGGAGAGGGCTGCAGCGAGGGTAGAGGGGAAGGAAGGGAGGGAGGGGGATGGAGAGACCAGGCTCTCTCAGGGGAACTTCTGATGGGTTTAACCCGAGTTCTGCAGCCCTCCCCATCTGCCTTCTCCAACCTGGGTCTTGGCCCCCTGCCCAGCCATCAGAGCTGAACACCTGGGCGTCCAGATGCTCTCCTCACATGCTTCCCAGCTACCACCTCCCCCTGCCCTCCTCAGTGCCCCCGGGATGACTGCAGCAGTCTCCAGGGGCTCCCTGGCTGCCTGACCCCCTTGTCCCAATTGCCTCCAAAGCTGTCACGGTGGAACATAGATCTGCCCACTCCCAGGCTCACAAAGCACTAACAGCTGGCCCCGCCACCCGAAGGGTGAAAGCCACACTTTGGTCTGGCATTCTGCACCTCCCTGTTGGGCACCATCTGCCTCACCACTTCTCCCACACCCACCCCACCAACCTCTAGCCATAAACCCACTTCTGTCCTCCGAACTCACCATGCATTTCACTGTCTTCCTTTGCACACGCAGCCCCTTCCTCCAGGCACACCTTTCCACCCCTCTCCTTCTGCCAAAGCTGCCGCAGGGCTTAATTCTCGCTCCTGGGAGAAGCCTTCCTGCTCTCCACCACCACAGCCTGGGCCCCTGGGTACAGCGCTCACAACCCCCAGGGAGGCATCTACACAGGCCATGGTGCTCTTGTTGCCCCCGGAGTGGTGCAGGTCAGGGACCTCACTCTCAGTGCCTGGCATGGCCCTGTTATCACCACATTCTTTCATACGCTGATCTTTGCCCCCAAATCGCAGCCACCATGACCAGTGCGAAATAACACACAGTCAGACTGTCTTCTGTCTCCAGGATGGAACACAGTGTTGGACACCACGTTGCTGCTTAATAATATTTGTTGCATGAAGGGATAAAAGAAGGAAGGAAGGGAGAGAGAGAGAGGAGGGATGGGCAGGGACATCTACCTGGGGGTGTTAGAGTCCACTGTCCCTTGAGCCCCAAAAAGGTCTCACTGCCTGGACTCCTGACTTTTCTGCCCTTTCTCAGGTGGCAGAAAAAGTCGTGATCCTGGTGACTGATGCCAATGACGAGGCGCCCAGGTTCATCCAGGAGCCTTATGTTGTCCTGGTTCCTGAGGTGAGCGGGGGGCCACTAGGCAGGGCTGAAACTGCTACCCCAGGTCCCTGGGGCTGCTCTGTGGCCTGGAGTGCAGGGCACCTGCCCATCAACTATCGCGCTTGGCAGAGCCTCCCATGTCACCCTCCCTGCCCCCCGCATTCACTTCTGATCCAAAGTAACACTCATTTGCTATTTCCATTATAATCATAAAGTATGTTTATTGTAGAAATATGAAATATATAGAAAAGGAGGGAAAAAAGAGTTTTAAAAATCACCCTCAATCTCTCCAACTGGAGACTTGTTAAATTTCGGTGCATTTCCTTCTAGTCTTTTTTGTGATTATGTATATTTTCTTCTGTTTCTTCAGCATAGTTGTGACCGTACTGAACCATGCTTTCCGTATCCTATTTTCCACTTAAGTTATAACACGAGCATTTTCCTCATCCATTGTGAAATCTGGGTCACTATCGTTTTAATAGCTTCCATCGAGTGAACATTCCATCATTTACAGAATCATCCCCTGATGTTTGGACATTTAAGGTGCTTCAAATTTTTGCTGTCATAGTTTTATTTTTTTAAATTAGGATTATTTCCTTAAGATACCATCCAAGATTTGAAATGACTGGGTCACAGCATGCATACCCATGGGGTGTTGCCAGATTGCTCTTCCAGAAGGGCAGCGGATTGCTCCCTCCCCTGCGACACCGGGCAGGGTTTGTCCCCTCTCCCCTTGCCAACACTGGGATTCCCGAAGTTTAACATGTCAGCTGATTCTCTAGCAGGAAGATACCTCATTCTTGTTTTAAACTGTAGGTGTGTGGTCCCCGGTGAGCCTAAATACGTCTATGGTTCTGAACCATTTCCTCCATGCGAATTGCTGTTTCATATTTAGACCCTTTATCTATTTGGGGTCTTGGTGTTTTCTTCTCACCCTCTCCCTGAGGACATCCCCACCCGGCTGCATCTTCTTGAGCTCCCTTTTCTTTCCCTCCTTCCAGCACCCACACTGCCTCCCCCTGGAGGGGGCTCACACACGCATCCCCACCCCCTCACCTCTTTCTAGCCCTTCACTCCCCTGACCCCCCCGCTCCAGGGCCCCCTGGCTCCCCGAGCACCCTGTCACTGCCCCTGACCCTCTCCCCATGGCTGTGACCCCTCAGGACACACCTGCTGGGAGCAGCATCTTTAAGGTCCACGCGGTGGACAAGGACACTGGCTCTGGAGGGAGTGTCACCTACTTCCTGCAGGTAAGGTGGGACACCCAGGAGAGGCTGGGTGGGAGGGACAGAAGCCTTCTTCCCCTGACGGGTCCATCCTGGCTTCCTCTGAGTTGGCCCGTCCCCACCCTCCTCCCGGGTCCCCAGGACCTTCAGTCCCCCACGTCCCCAACCCCTTCCCCAGAGGCTCCCACATAGGGCAGAAGAACCGATCTGGGCCTGGAATGGTCAATAGGAAAAAAAGGCAGAAGGGACAACTCTCAGAAGGAGGGTTACGACGCCCCTGAAAACACAGGTTCTGGAGAAATCCCCTGGACTCCTCAGGTACTGGGGAGATCCCACCTCTTACCACTTGAGTGACCTTAAACACCTTATCTAACGGTTCCAGCTCAGCTTCCCCACCTGTAAAACGGAGGGATGGGAGCACATCCTCACCGGTTGTTGTGAGCACTCCATACACATAAAGCTTCAGTAACAGCAGCCGGCACAGGATGCCTGACCCCAGCTAGCTAGAAGGGCCCCAAGCACCCCACAGGGGGCAGGTGCTCCTTGCCGGCCTCCTTCATTCTGCAGATGCCCTCTGCATCATCTCTTGCCCCCACCCTCGTGCTGCCTGGGACTGGCCCACCGCAGTCACCTGCTCCATGCGGTTGGAAGGTTCCAAAGCTCCTCTCCTTCACTGTGACATGTTAGCCCCTACGCTCTCGGGCTTAGAGCGTGCAGCAGATGTTTCTGCCTGCTGGAAACTCCAGGCCAGAGCTTAGCCCAGGGCTGAGCTCCTCTTTGTTTTCCATCTGAGCAGGGAGAAAATCGAAGGCCCTGAAAGGGAACATTCTGGTTTTGACAGAGGGCATGGGAGAAGAAGTCTGGGACCTCCCTCTGAAGGGGAACCTGGGGCCAGAAAACTGGGTGCCCTGAAGTTTGAACCTCAGCCCAAAGGCCAGACTTCCGGTGACAGGGGGCAGTGAGGATCCCCTTTAGTAAGCAGAGCAGGCATTCCTGGGGCCGGCCTGGGTTCCTCCCTGAAGCCCAGCCAGCTCCCCAACTTTCACAGAACCTGCACTCCACCCAGTTTGCCATGGACCGCCACAGCGGGGTGCTGCGCCTTCAGGCTGGGGCCACTCTGGACTATGAGAAGTCCCCGACCCACTATGTCACCGTGGTTGCCAAGGTAATGGGGGGGAGCATCCAGTCTTCCCTCAGCACTTGGGCTAGAACAGAGTCGGGGTCCACCGTGTCGTAGGGGCCATTTGGAGAGCAGGAGGTGTGACGGGTGTGGGGAAATGGGGGGACAGCAGTTCGGAATCTATTCTGCCTGGATGTGTTCTCCGGGGAGGCTGGAGAGGGCACATTCCTTTCTGGAGGAGGCATTTGCTCCTCCAAAGTGACAGGAAACTGACATGCCGGGGTGCCCTGGGTAGGAGCAGAGGACTGTGTTCCTCTCACACCCCACGGCTCGGCCTCCAGGTGCCCCCTCTCTCTGGCCAGCCTCTCTCCCCCTCCTCCCCCTCTCCGTGTGACCAGTTACCCTTTCTGAGCCTTGGTGTCCTCATCGCCCGTCCCTGAACCCTAACTAAGCTCCTCGCATGTCTGAAGTGCACCATGTGGAACCGGAAATCAGCAGGTGCCCAGACAAGGAACACGAAATCCCCGTCGTCCCTCCAGGCTCGGCACTCGCCTTTCAGGAAGGCCCTTGCTGGTCACAGACGGGCCGCAGGCCATCCTGCTGCAGCCTGTTCCGGAAGGCCTGAGGCAGCCCGCCTGCCGGGACTCTGGGGGGCTCAGCTGGGCGCGCACCTCCCTTACCCAGGCTCAGGCGCGAGGCCTGCGTCATGCTCCCGTGGGCCCAGTGGCGCCCAGCACAGGCCGAGCACGTAGTAGGTCCTCGGGAGGTGTGTGAGGCGCAATTCCCGCCGGGAGGGGAGATTCAGCTCCAAGCACCTCCTCTGCTGCCCCTGCCGGCCATGATTTCCCTGGAGAGAGAACTAACCCTGTGTCCAGCCTTCTGCACGCTGGGCACCGACTGAACCCTGCACGCATCATCCCTTTTAACTTTCCCAACACTCCTCTGAGAGGAGACTCACCTCCAGGGGGTGCAAACAGGAGCACACAGAGACTCAGAGAGGGCAACTGGCCGCACAGCCAGCAGGGCAGGAGCCCTCGGAGTCTAACAGGGTGTGTTTGACTCCAGAGCCCAGCCTGTCTTCACTCTCCTCTGTGCCCCCAATTCTTCCCCAGGATGGTGGGGGGAGGCTCCGAGGGGCCGACGTGGTGTTCTCAGCCACCACCACCGTCACGGTCAACGTGGAGGACGTGCAGGACACGGCCCCTGTCTTCGTGGGCACACCTTACTATGGCTACGTGTATGAGGACACTCTTCCGGTGGGTGGCTGCGCCCCTTACCCAGAATCCCCTCCCAACGCCTCCTGTCCTGTCCCTCGTGACTCTTGGGACCCCCTGCCAGGGCTGACTGGGCTCAGCCCGGGTCACCCTCCACACACAGAGCCCAGCTCTGGACTCACTGAGGCTCCGGCCATGAACTGGCCTTTTGACCCCAACCAGACCGCGAGCTCCCACGGGCAGAGATCAGGCCGGAGTCAGACCTCACTAGGCCACGGCTCTAGAACCCTCCGTGGAACTGAACTACATTTTCCGTTTGCACTTCCCCATTTTCTGAGTGTTCTTGACTTTATACAACAAGGAAAACACCTATCGAGGACCTAGCGTGGAGACGAGCTCAGAGTGAGGGGAGAGAAATGGCGGGCTGCCAATGGTGGGCGGAGGCTCAGCACCGGGCAGGGGGAGGCCCAGGCCGTCCAGCCGAGGAGCCAAGGGCAGAAGGAGGTGCAGAGGGTCAGGGCCCGGGAGCGGGGGCGGCCCCTGGACCGGGGCAGGAAGTAGCCACGAGTAGGCCAGAGAGAATGGCCTGCGCGGGGTGCTTAAGTGCGGGCGGCGGGCACAGGTGGAGCGAGACTCGTTTGGTCACGACAGCGCTGCCCCAAACCCTCCGACACCGGCAACCAAGGCCCATAGGCTCGAATCCTGATCCTGGGACTTCGCCTTTGAGGCTGTCCGTGCCCAGCCCCTCTCCCACCTGTCTCTGCCCCCTCCCTTCGTGCACCTCTGATGGAGGGGCCGTCGGGGGCGGTAGAGGCGAGGCTGAGGGCTGAGTGTGGCCTGTGGACCAGGAGTTGGTGCGGACCCTGGGCCCTGGGCGGCCCCCTGCGCCAGCCCCTACGGGTGAGGAAGCAGCGGGGGCTCAGGCTGTGCCTCCAGCCCTGGGAGGCCAGGGGCGCTGAGAACCCCCAGCGAAGCAGGGCGGGGCCGTGCTCCGGGCCACGCGGAGGCCGGACTCTTTTCCCCTTGGCGATGGGAGCAGTGTCTGTGGAGGGGAGGCCCCTGTCTCTCCCCTCAGCCTCAGGCAGCTGTTCTGCTCCTCCAAGGGCTCGGAGGTCCTGAAGGTGGTCGCCGTGGACGGAGATCGGGGCAAACCCCACCGCCTTCTCTACAGCCTCGTGAATGGTGAGTCTGGGGCTTTGGGGCTGCAGCTCCGACTCTTTGGTTACCAGGTTCCCCAAGCTCTGGATCCCAGCTCCCTCATCCATAGGACCAGGGGGTCCTAGTTGTGTGGAGAGAAGGGGCTGGACCCCCCAGGAGATGGCAAGTGTCCCAGAGCACGTGCTCCGGCCCCTGCATGTCGTTATATTTGGCATGGGTGGCGCTGATCCGTGCTCCCTTCACCCTGGGCACACGCTCATCGGTGGGAACAGGTGGCAACATCTCTCACACTTATTAAATTGCTTTGTATATCTTCTCATTCTTTTTAATGTTTTAGCCTAGAGCATATAGCTGAATTAAGTGAATCAAATGCAGTGATAATGTGGCATCTCCCTAGTGCTAGCCCGATATATGGATGAGAAAACTGAGGTTCAGAGAAGCTCAGGGGGCATCCCAAGTTCCCACCGCTGGATTTGACCCTGTGTCTGCTGGCTCCAGAGTCTGTGCTCTTCCTAAAACCAGGCAGCAACTGAGCAGGCCGAGCGGTCCCTGGGGTGGGCCAAGTCATCACACCAGGCACCTTGATCCCAATGTGCACATGTCTAGACACCCCAACCCTGTCCCCTGGACACACTTGGTGCACACTTGCTCTCAGCGGTTCACACATGGACAGACAAGGCCACCATCACACATGGGCTCCTTTCTGCAAGCACAAAGACCCTTGGCTGCCTTCCCTCCCTACCACCGCTGCAAACCTTCGCCCAGTTGCAGAGCACCCATCCCGCCCGTCTCCGCACCGCCTCTCCTCCTCCTCCTCCAGTCTCCTCTCCCTCTCTCCTCTCTTTCGTCCTCCCCTCCCTTCCCTGCTTCCCCTTCCTTCCCTCTTTCTCTTTCCTTCACACACACACACACACACACACACACCCATACATGTGCATGCACACACACATACACATACACACACTATTATGCATAAGAGAAGGAACACAGTGTGGAATCTGGGGGCTGAACAGAAGTGAGTAAAAGTCCCAGCTCTGCACTTGCTGTGTAACCTCACACAAGTTACTTAGCCCCTCTGAGACTCGGTTTCCTCATGGCAAGACACAGGTGACAAGATTACATTCTGTGGAGGAGACTTCCCGAGGTAAGGAGAGGAGCGTGTGGCACAACTGCCTGCGCCCCACCGTGGCCCTGTGCGGAACTACAGGGCACATCTCTCTGACAGGGAGCGATGGTGCCTTTGAAATTAACGAGACGTCTGGAGCCATCTTGGTCATGCAGAGCCCTGCCCAGCTCCAGAGAGAGGTGTATGAGCTGCACATACAGGTACCTTCCCTCTAGCCTGGTCTTCCCTGCCCACCCTTCAGCCCTGGAAGGCTACAAAGGCCCTGGAAGGTCCTTCCTTCCAGCCCCCTGGGCTCACAGTCTGGGGAGGGAGCTAAATGTTGCTGCAAAGAGCACCCACATCAGGCTGCAGCAGATGCACAGGAAGCCCCCAGGGAGGGGAGGGGGACATAAACTCCCAAGCAGAGTCATGAAAAGGCAGGAGGAGGTAGCACTGAAGCAGCAGTGCCTCACGCATGGGTAGGATCCAGCAGGTGCATACTGGTGGCAGGGGCATTGGCTGGGTGGGGGCAGAGTGAGGAAAATCCAAGCCAGGAAAGCCCAGAGAGCCCAGGCTGGAGGGGAGAGCACATGATGTGTTAAGAAAACACCCAGGAGTCAGGTGAGACCAGAGCAGAGAGCCCACGGCAGCCTGGCGAAGAAGGGAAGTTGGACTCCCAGGCTGGGGCCAGAGGAGCGGTGGCCCCGAATGTGGGGAATGGGTTTGTGCCCAGGGCAGGACACATGACCTGCACAGTCACACAGGGACCATGCTTAGAAGCATCCCACACTAAGCTTAATGCTCTGCTAGTTGCTGTCTTGAAATTCCTGATAGTGTTTGAACAAGGGACCCTGGACTGTTATTTTTCACCAGACAAATTATTAATATCTAGCTGGTCCTGCCCACAAGCAATAAAGACCCATTGAAGGTTCCAAGCAGGGTTACAGTCACTTGGAAGCTCCCTCTGGCTGCTCACTGGACCAGTGGAGTTTCCAAATTGGGAGAGTTTGGCCAACCAAGACTTCCAGGACCCTCTCCTGGGAATGGGAAGGACTCGCAGCCGGGTGATTCTGGCCCCAGTCCCAGCCTAGAATTTGGGAATTATGGTCTCGACTCAGGCTCGGAGGGAACTGGATGGGATGGAGGGAGGCAGAGTCATTCGACAGGGTGACAGAGGAAGAGGGTCTGTGAGGAAGAGGGGAGGCGGATGGCAGGAAGGGACAAATCGAAATCACGAATGAGTCACACTGCACAGAACGTGGCAGTTGGTGGGTGTGACAGTGAGGGATGGGGTGGCGATACCATCAGGAGCACCAGAGAGGAGGCAAGTGACCAGGCGGGGAATGGCCAGTTTGGGCACCTGAGGGGCATGCAAGTTGAAGCACCCAAACTTGGGCATACAGGTTTGGAACTTGGGGGACAGAGCGTCAACTTACAGGCAGCTGTGAGAGGCATGGGGGATGGGGAATGAGAGAATGGCTGCAGGGAGAGAGGAGCAGTCACCAAGCACGGCTGGGGGAGCCATGGAGGGGGCTGAGAGTGAGCAGGGGGGCAGGGGCAGGGGCAGGAGACCCCCGGGAGGGGCCAGAGAGGCTGAGGAGGACCTGCAGAGAGCACAGTCACATTGGCCAAGGGAGCAGAGCACAGTGCCGGATGCAGCGTGGAAGTCAGTGTGAACTGTCTGCGTGGGGCGTGGGGTGAGAATGAGTGGGAAGCAGGGATGGAAATGGCAGGCGTGGGCTTCTGAGAAGGGAGAGAGTCAGGACAGCAGTGAGGGTGTGAGGAGGGGAGGGTCATTTTAGGGTGGATAAGACCAGGCATACTCATAGAACCAGGGAAAAGAGACTTCGAAGAGGCTCATAGGATATTTGCCACATGGTTCATGACTGTGGGCTCTGAGCCCTGGCTTTGCAGCCTGTATTGTTTATCCATCGCTGCATAACAAGTTACCCCAAACTTGGCAGCTTAAAACAACACACGTGCATATCTCGCAGTTTCTGTGGGTCAGGAGTCCGGGCTCAGCTTGGCTGGGTCTCAGTTTTAAGTTCTCTCCTGTGACTGCAATAAGATTGTCAGCCAGGACCAGGTCTCATCTGAAGGCTTGACTGGGGAAAGATTGACTCCCACATTCACCTGGTTATTGAAAGGACTCAGCTTCTGTGGGCTGTTGGGCTAAGAGCCTCAGGTCCTGGTTGGCCTCAGGCTAGCGGTCACCATCAGTTCCTCGTCACGTGGGCCTCTCCAGCATCACTGCCTGCTTCATCCGCTATTGAGACAAAGTTTTGGTCTCTTGTAATCTAATCATGATGTGAGATCTCATCATCTTTGCCACATGCTATCAGTTAGAAGCAAGTCACTAGGCCAGGCCACACTTAAGGAGAGAGGATTATACAAGGGCACGAAGAGTGGGATCACTGGGGGCATCTCAAGAGCCCGCCTGCACATAGCCATAGCCACCTGTCCCCACCCCAGGTGACCGAGGTCAGCTCTGTGGGGAGCCCAGCTGCCCAGGCCATGGTCCCCGTAACCATCAGGATTGTGGACCTCAACAACCACCCGCCGACATTCTACGGCGAGAGCGGGCCCCAGAACAGGTTTGAGCTGTCCATGAATGAGCATCCGCCCCAGGGCGAGATCCTACGGGGCCTCAAGATCACCGTCAACGACTCCGACCAGGTACGTGGTGCAGCCCTCTACCCCGCCTTCCTGCAGAGGGCGCGTAGCCGAGGTCCCAAAGATAACTAGGTCTGCATCAGCCTCCACTGCATATGTGGCAGAGCCAGGCAGGTCACAGAACGAATGAAACAGGAGGGTGTAACCAAGAGGGAAGGAGGGAGAGTGGCCAACCAAAGACTATCTGCTTAGCCGAAAGGCAATTAACACTCAGGTCAAAAGTAAAAGCCAGTCCAACAAAATCAAATCTGCATCTGACCAGCCACATAGGCATTTGTGAATGTGACCTACACAGGGCTGGGAGTTCTGTTTGTTACCTGGCTCAATCCTCATAACTTGGTAAACTTTCTGATCCTTGATCAACTCACCTATAGAGAGAAGTAATAATACTCACCCCCCCAGGGTTAAGGGCATACAAAAGCTCCTTCTATATAGCATAAAACATATATTAATAAAATTCTATTCTCATTTATCTTCCCTCTTTGCTATCTACAAACTATCGCTCAGGGAGCCAATGCCAAATTCAACTTGCGGCTGGTGGGACTCGGGGGCATCTTCCGCGTGGTCCCACAGACAGTCCTGAACGAAGCTCAGGTTACCATCATTGTGGAGAACTCAGCTGCCATTGACTTTGAAAAATCCGAAGTGTTAACCTTCAAGGTAGGTGGTGCTTCGCGCTGCCCTGAAAGGGGTGGGGCTTCCAGGAGCTCACACCAGCATCACGATTCATTCCTGAGGGGGCTCTCCTGTCACTCCCGGCCCTCCCTGGCCCCATTCTTTTCCTCCCTGACCCTCTGTCCCCGGCGCGATGCGATATTGGGGAATGGTGGTGGGGGAGGAAGAAGAGGGGTACACAGAGCCTTCTGTAGGCTACTCACAGCCTCAGTGTCACCGAACTCCCGCCCTCTAAACCACAACCAGCCCCAGGAATGCAAAGAAAAACTTCCAGCGTAATTTGCCATGTTAATAGATAGAGAGAGAAAAACTGTTTGATTATCAAGGTGGATGCTTTCTCATAGGCCTTTGACATTTGTCATCTTATTCTGATAACAACCTTAGCAGAAGAGGGAAAAAATACTTTTTTGACATCATCCATAATTATGTAAAATTACAAGTGTATATAAAATGCATTTTATGTATTAACATATAAGTTATATATTTTTAAAAGGAAAAATAAATACTTCATGGATATTATTTAAATTGTTACCATTATTTATAATTATACACACATATGCATATCCACCTATAGCCAGCAATGTGCTTAAAAGTGAAATACAAAAAGCAGCCTATGAAGCAAGGAACAAGACATGAATACCTGCTAGCACCACTATTATTTAACATGATTCCTATAATAACATTATTCTTGGA